CCTCCCTTCCTCCTTGAGTGTGTGAGTGTGTATGTGTCTGTGAGTGTGACTGGGGGGTGGGATGAGGGGTGGGCGTGAGAGTGTATGAATGTGTGAGTGTATGTATATGAGTGTGAGGGTATGGGGGTGGGGTTGACAGTGTATGTATATGTGTGAATGTGTAGGGGGTAGGTTGTGAACATATGAGTATGTGTGAATGTGTGTGGTTGTGTGTGTGAGTATATGTATGTCAGTGTATGGCTGTGTGTGTGAGGGGGCATGGGAGTGGGGGTGAGAGTGTGTAAGTTTGTGTGTGGAGTGGGTGGGAGAATATGAGTGTGTGTGAGGTGTTGGGGTGGGGGTGAGAGTGTATGAGTGTAAGCATAAGTATGTATATAAGTGTGAGTGTATGACTATAGGGTTTGAGAATATGTGTGTGAGTGTGTATGTATGTGTGAGTGTGTGTGAGGGGGTATAGGGTGGGAGTGAGATTGTGTGTGTGTGTGTGTGTGTGATTGTGAGACTGTGAGACTATGTGTGGGTGCGGGGGATGAGGGCTGGGTTTGAGAATGTATGAATGTGAGTGTGTGTACGTGAGTATGAGTATATGACTGTATGTGTGTGTGAGGGTATGGGGTGGGGTTGAGTGTATGTGTGTGTATGTGAGTGTGTGTGGGCTGGTGGTGAGAATATATGATTGTGTGTGTGGTTGGGTGTGTGAGTGTGTATATATGTAAGTATATGGCTGTATGTGTGTGTGGGTTAGGGGTGAGAGTATATGAGTGTGTGTGAGTGTGTTTGTATGTGTGTAAGTGTGACTGTGAGACTGTGTGTGAGTGCAGGGGATGAGAGCTGGGCTTGAGAGTGTATGAATGTGTGCATGTATGTGAGTGTTAGTATATGACTATATGTGTGCGTGAGGGTATGGGGTGGGGTTGAGTGTATGTGAGTGTGTGTGAGTTGGTGGTGAGAATATATGATTGTGTATGTGGTTGGGTGTGTGAGGGTGTATATATGTAAGTGTATGGCTGTATGTGTGTGGGGGTAGGGGTGAGAGTATATGAGTGCATGTGAGTGTTTATATGTGTGTGAGTGTGGGGGGGATGAGGGGTGGGCTTGAGAGTGTATGAATATGAGTGTGGGGGGGTATGGGGTGGGGTTGAGTGTATGTGTGTGTATGTGAGCATGTGTGTGTTGAGTGGTGAGAATATATGATTGTGTGTGTGGTTGGGTATGTGAGTGTGTATATATGTCAGTGTATGGCTGTATGTGTATGAGGGCTAGGGGTGAGATTGTGTGAGTGAGTGTGAATGTGTTTGTGTGTGTGTATGGATGTGCATATGTGAATGTAGGGGGTGGGGGTAAGAAGATGAGTGCATGTGTGAGTGTGTACCTGTGTGTGTGTTTATGTGACTGTGTGTGTAATTGTGTGTAACTGTGCTTAGTAATTCTTCGGGGGAGGAGGGGGCGGGGCGGTGTGTATTCTGTGGCTTTCCAGGCAGAGCCAAGGCACTGGTGTGGGATCTGAGTGACGGGTGTCCGAAGAAGGGTTCTCTAGTGGGAAGCCCAGGTAAAGGGGTTCCCTTTACTGAGGGACAGCTCTCGCTCTCGGGGAGTCCTGAGGTGAGGGAGGGAGAAGTAGAGGGGGTGTTGGGGATGCTGAGGTTTCTGGGAGAAGGTGGCAAGGTGGACGCTGTATCTCATGATTCAAGTGCAGTCGGAACCACTGAAGAATTGGAATTTCCCTCAAGTGCTGTGGGAAAGTTAGACCAGAGCAGGGGGAGAGGAGAGGCCAGTGCCCAGGTGTGCCCAGATGAGCCCAAGAGCAGGCCTGGGTGATGACGGGAGCAGCACACACCAGCACCTCACAGAGGGGAGAGGAGTGGGGGACAGGCTGGTGGGACAGCTGGGTGGAGTCACTAGACATGGTGGCTGATGAGATAGGAGGATTGTGGGCAAGGAAGCAAGCGGGAGTTTGGGTCTTTGAGAGCTGGTTTCTGAGCCCCAGCAGGGGCCAGGCCTCGTGCTGTGTAGCTGCTCCTTAGTTCACGAAGCTCACCATCCACTGGGGGAAGGCGGGTGGTGCCTTGGGTTCCTGGGGCTGCCACCCAAACAAAGTGGGTGGCCAGGAGCAGACCGTGTCTCAGGCTGGGTGTCCAGCCGCAGAGGTCATGGAGCCCCCTCTCCGCTGCCTCCAAGGGCGGCTCCCCTGCCTTTCTCAGCGTCTAGCCCCAGACATTCTTTGGTTGATCGTCGGATCCACACCAGGGTTGTGACTCCATGCCTGTGTGAGCTGCCCCCCTTGGTAAGACCCCACTCGAAGGGTGCAGGGCTAGGGCCCACCTTTCTCTGGGATGTCTTCGCTGTCACCACCTTCATAGCTGGACCTCACCTTTAAGCAAAGTCACATCCACAGGCGAAGGGGCTAAAGCCCTTGAGTTGGTTCCGCCTCCCTGCCTCTTGTGTGGCAGATAAACGTCCTGGCCACCATTGTCACGGAGACATGTTGCCAGGTCTTACTGAGTGAGTGCAACCCTCCAGCGTAGCCCTGCCTTCTTCTGTCCCCGGCAGATTCACACAGAGTGACCCACTTGTCCTTGTGTCCACACACCAACCAAGTGTGTGTCACCCCCTGAAAGAGTTGGGGTGGGCTTTAAGGGGGCTACAGTAGGAAGATGCCATCTCACACAAAGGGGAGAATTTCTAGTGCCCACAGCTGAGGACCCTGCCAAGCACCATCCACGTAAGGGCTGGAGAGCCACAGTGGGGATCGGCACTTGAAGAGCATACGGACCAATTGAAGGCAGAGTGGCCGTAGCTGGGCCCCGAGGAGCTCAGGGCAGCAAGTAGGAAGAAGTCCTCTGGGGTGCTGACAGCTGGAGAGGAAGGACACGGGCGTGCCGCAAGACTGGAGGAGCAGGTCCAGCTGCCCAGGGAGCTCTGGATGCCTGAGAGATCCAGATAGCCAGAAGCATGATGTCCCCAAGGGGAAAGAGACACAAGGCAGCCCTTGGAGAAGAGAGTACTGCTTGCTTATGCTGAAGGGAGGGGGAGTGTGGGCTCCCCTGCAGGGCTGGCTGTGGCTCCCAAGTCTTTGTGAGGAGGGGGAGTTAGGAGAGGGGTGGGGAGGTGGGAAGTCTTAAGGAACAAGGAGGGAGCGGCCAACGTCGGGTAAGCAGCTGTGGGGGCGAATTGGATGTGGTCTGTAGTTATAGCTGTTGTGTCCAACTGATTCAGGAGAGGAGGCCCCACGTAACAGGGGCACTGCCTCATGGGCTTCCAAGGCCATCACATTCCCGGAGCACATCACCGGGTCCTGGTCCCACAGAACTGCTTGGTGGGTTTGAATGACCTTCCAATTTTCAGTCAGCCTCCAACACCCAAACCTGGTGCACATGGGCTCTTCGGATGGGATGGAGACTGTTGGGTACCATTGATGGATTCTGGGTGACAGAAAGCTGTTGTCATTGGTTGGATTCTGGGTAACAGCTGTTGTCATTGGGTGGATTCTGGGTGACAGAGCTGTTGTCATTGGGTGGATTCTGGGTAACAGCTGTTGTCATTGGGTGGATTCTGGGTGACAGAGCTGTTGTCATTGGGTGGATTCTGGGTGACAGAGAGCTGTTGTCATTGGGTGAATTCTGGTGACAGAGCTGTTGTCATTGGGTGGATTCTGGTGACAGAGAGCTGTTGTCATTGGGTGGATTCTGGTGACAGAGAGCTGTTGTCATTTGGGTGGATTCTGGGTGACAGAGAGCTGTTGTCATTGGGTGGATTCTGGGTGACAGAGAGCTGTTGTCATTGGGTGGATTCTGGGTGACAGAGA